CAATGACGTACGGTGCTTAAATAGTACGCCATGTAATAGCATACTATTATTCTTTTCCTAATTCAAAATCGGATTGTCTACCATATAACAACGCAGACAATAGTCAATAGTACTAAAAATACGGGATTCAGAATTGTTTCATTGTTGTTGCTTGATAACTCTATAGTCGTGCCCGGTGACGTCACGATAACTCTCGTTCTGTTCGCGACGTCGCTGTTTATAACCGATAACATTAGAAATTCTAAAACACACAATCATGATGTTGAGAGAGTCCTATGCCGCCGTCTTGTGCACGCTAGTCAGCGTGTTATTTTTCACTACGGTTTGTGCGACGTCCGGTAAGTATCTGTGGCATATCACATAATATATGTCGTAATTGAGTGTGTATGTCGTCTGGCGTTTGTTGGAGGCACGCGTACCCCTTGCTCGATAACGCATACGTCTTTACGGCAAAATACCATTTGGGTTCCAATTCTAAACTGTGTGTCGTCGAATTTGCGAGAAAGCAGTAGTATGTTTACTCTAAAAATAGGTGACCGTTTGACTATGTAATGGTATGCTAAGCTGACATCGTATCAGTCTCTTGGGTTAAGTACAATGAAACGGTATTTATTCAACTTCTGAATTTAAATACTAAAAAATAATAATTAATACATATGAACAGTGTGTTCAGGCCATGTATATGTACGTGTACGCGTGACATTTATTACTTTATGAAAGTTGTTTTAATCGTATTCTATTTTAATTTAATAAACCTAACCGCACCATACACTTCCAATAATGTAACCAGCTGCTGCAGTGTAGAATACGTTGCCATGACAACCGCATTCATGCACGTAAACTGTATCGTATTAACTTTCACACCCTCAAATAGGTTCACTTATAAAAAAAAATACAAAATCAGCAACAACAAAAATCATTTTGGCAGTGTGGAGACAATTACTAGTATTTCGGAAGTAGAAAATTAAATATTTATCTTATAAACCAACTTGTAGCATGAAATAAACCCAAAGGCAATAGTGTTTACCGCGACTTTGTTCCCGTATCCAAAATAATACCTGGCTGTGTCAATAGCAGATCTATTCATTGTGGGCCACGTACTGGACGGTTAGTCATTATGTATCATCATCACTCGAGCGAAGTACACTTTGTGTTGGCTGTCATGTGGCCAGTGTCGAGGTCACAAGTTCATGCAGCTATTCGCCGACTGGCAAATCAATGCACCTGTACTTTGGGTCATAACTACAAATTCGGCAATATTATACGATCGTCGAGGTGGTTATATGATCGATCAAACGTAATTTGCTCTAGGATAAACCGCCAACTAAGTATGTTTCATTCACTTTTACAATACACCCTTAAAATTTCCCAACGTTTATTTTCAATCCACGGCGGGTACACATATTGCGTAGTTATATCAGCTCACATGTTACTTGTTTTGTTTTTTACCAAAATTACCTTTGGTAGTTGCATTAGAGCTTGGAAATCACAGTACATTGTGTACGGAAGCTCAAATGTCAAAGTTGAACGCTTGCATATTATGTGTATGTTAAGATCTTAAATGAACTGATTTATTCCAGAACATCATAAAACTGAGGTTGCCCTTGAGAATATACACCATATCACTACCCATTTAACAATCTTGTTGTATTTATAGTTAGGATCCACTGTATGCACCCGTCTGACGTAAATTGCACGTAAAGAACACGACAAACGAAAACAAAGTGCACGGCATAACTAACTCAGAAAGCCACACAGAAAACAAGTCCTCAGTCGTAGTGAATGAATGCGCGTGGCTAGCCAGACGGAATATTTTAGAGAAATCATATATATTAGTAATTTCGCAAGATTACAGAACAGAAAATTTGCTTAAATCATAGCGAGTCTTGATTCTCTCGCAAACCTAGTATCACAGATTATCAAGAAATAATTTAATTATTTATATGTGTTGTAAAAACAAGTATATAACGACCCAAACAAAGCTGCGTTAAAAGGTACTGTCTGTATCGCAAAAACCCGAGCAACATTGTCTAAGTTGTTTCCCCTATGTAGCGCCCAGGGTTCCCAAATACTCCCATTTCTGTTACTAAATCTTTATACAAGTTGTTGAATATCTTCAATTACTTTTTAAATTCACACAAAGTTTAGAGATTGTGCAGGCGAAATATGGTCTCCAAGTCAGTACCTGACACCCGTATATTGATGAAAAAATTCGTAGATTATTCGAGTTCCAACAAACGCATGTCAAATGTTTCTTCTTAGGGTGAAAAACGTATATACTCATTACAGTAAACAAAATCCGAGATATTTTGATCCGCCACGAAGAACATTTTTTTTGCGTATATGAATATATATTTAACGAAATTTAGCAAACAACGTTTTTTTGTAATTCTTCTTTCCAACCCATGGACATATAGTAGTGTAAGAGTGAAACGTCTTTGAGCAAAAAAAGTACCACTGGGATAAATTTGCTTCGGTCTTGATATATTTGTTCAACAAAGCATTTTCTCACCAGTCTTGTGTGAGTCGTTTGATCTTCTTTTTGTGATGTCGTTCTTCCTGACACGGATTCCCATTCGCTGAGAATGCCGCAGTAAAAAGCATACTAGTACTAATGGTAGCGTCAGTTAGGCAATCGTGGAGCATAAACACCTTCACTGGGCGGGACGTGACGTCACCATGCGACACTGTTGTCATGTGATGAACAGGAATGTAGTAGGTCAGCTTATTATTTTATATAAATGAACGCTCATAACACGTTGTCGTTATGTTCCTATTTCTACAAAAGATAGTAATTTGAAAATATTATGTGAACGAAAAAAATCTACGTATCGACGTCAGCAAAGTTGCGTTCCCACAATTATGTGCTGAATTTATACACATGGTGTATATTTTATTTTGTAGAGAACATTCTATGTCCAGCATTGTTTGTCAACACTCATTGGGAAAGTACTCTTTGTTTTTAACAGTTCACTTTTACTAGGTTCTTTGCTCTATGCAATGCGCATTCACCGTGAATTGCACGCTTTGTGCAAAGGAATCTTATAAACGGCACTTTACGCAAAATAGAATAATTTGGGAGTTTAGTTACTACTTTTGAGTTTCGGGCTAAGAATGTTTGAATTTGAGAGGCATGACACTTCTTCCTCGAGTATTGAAAATCACGGCAATGGATGAGATACGATCACATACTTCACAAGGAGAGAGCCACTTTTGAGTTTTTGCGGGGTAAGGCATTAACGTCTATACACGTATTAAAGAACTCCTTTGAATATATGTGGTTACTTGGCACTGAAAACCGATGAACGAATGTCAGAGCGTAAACCTATTTTGTTCATTTTCCTCCGGTATTAGTCGCTAAATAGTAAGTTATCGCGTAAATTCAATTATAGCCTCGCAGACGCTGGCCATATTCGTGGTCATAACATTTATAAATATACATTGAATGTGTTGTTGCGATAAATGTAATTTTAATTTTGAATCTTTATTTTATTTTTCAGAATATTACGTAGGCAGCATCTGTTCAACGACGATCACTATCTCTGATACAGCCGATTCCATTTTGTATTTGCAAAGTGGGGCCTCGTACAATCCAAGTTCGCCGTGTTACGTCACGTTAACCACCGAAAACAATCGGCACGTACTCATCACTTTTTCCATCTTAGACATATCTAAAAATGAAGACGGGACCTGTGACGATTATATCAACATATATGACGGAGACGAGACGTCGGGAACCAATTTGACCGACGCTGGGCTTTGTGGAACAAACACGGATGCTGAGTCTGATGGTTACTTGAGCAGTGGGACCGATCTGACGATGGAGTTCGTCACTGCGCTCACCAATATCGGGGGAGGCTTCACGGCTTGTGCCACTAGCGTTAAAGACAAAGAACTCGGTAAGCAGCTTTAATCGCAGACACATAGTATAATCATTGGGTGGTAGCCTAATCTCATATTTTTTTTGAGAAAATTTTTCATGAATTGGATGATGACAATGCTCATTTAGTGCATTATATACAATCATATGTAGCCATTCATAAGTGAAACTTTAGTGTGTTGCGGTGCCGTATTTTGAGAAAATTGGGCAAATATTATCCAAACATTGCTATTTTTAGAAAAGTTCTATAGAACCCAGTGTTAAAACAAAACACTATTTTTCATCACTTTTTAAACCCAGACTTTTGAAATGATTCATTACAACAAAAACATCACCATCAGTCACGATACAATGTGGCACGCCCGTGTAACATGCGAGCAGATCGAAATGTTGCTTCCCATATTAATCAACCAGTGAAGGCCTTCTAAAATTATCGCTAAAAAACATGTTTCTTTCTTTCTAAAAACAGGCTGGTGAACATCCTTATATCGGCCAGGGGTACAATTTGTTGCAAAATAAATATTGGATATTTTTCGATTTGCGTAGCTTCTACCTTAAACAAAGTGTAAACAAATATACACCAGAAATAGAAGTGATATCGAAATAGGTTTTCTTTTCAGCTTTTATTTCAAAATGTGTTTTTTTTAATCAGAAGGGGAGTGTGACGACAGTGAAATTGAATGCAACAATCAAAGATGCGTACACGCCAGTTTAAAAAACAATGGACGGGACAACTGCGGTGATAAGAGTGACGAAGGTGAGAACAAATAAACATTTTTTTACTGTGCGTGAATTACGCAATATTCTGGAGCAAACTTATTATGATAAGAACAATACATCCATGGTAAACAACTCAATTACAAATTTGTATTATTATTTTTAGATGCGGCAGTATTATTGAACTTCTGGGACCAATTGATGGAACTAGGAATGGTAGCGGCGATATGTATCGTCGTGGCCATTGCTATCGCATTCGTTATATTCATCGTGTGCTTTGCGTGCTTCATAGCCAAATGTTGCTGCAAGAAAGCCGTCAGTCCCGTGTGAATACCAAGAGCGACCATGAGATACGACACATGACAGAGACTGTGACCTTTATAGCTACCATACCACGCAGCAATCTTTGCCAACGCTTTACATCGTATATTTTAATTGTATTATTAACGTCGAATTCATCACTAAAATGCAATGTAGGGGAACATGTTATTTCCATTATACTGAGGAGATAGTACTACTGTTTGTTAGATATACCATCACTTTCCGTTAGTCCCGGAGACTACATGCCAAGATCGTTTATGGAGAATGTATACGTGATGTGAGACCTTCAAAATAATCTATTCACACAATCCAGTTTTATTGCGTCATACTCGGTGTGCGCTGCTTGGACTCGCTTTAAAGTCGACTATCGGTGGGGGCGCAACACGCATAATGATAGATACGTGTACCCACGTGAAGTAGTCTCGTACCTTGGCTCATGGGACATTGCGATACACTTCGTTGTTGTGCGAAAAGCCCTGTGACAAATAACGACTCTGAATGTCACGTAGAATAATTTAGGTCTCACAAATAGACCATTATTCGTTAACTATGAGATCCCGCGATATGCGTGAATTCGGACGCCGTAAAGGGACAGGACAAAGGTCGCAGAGGCGTCAAAGCATCGTGTGGAATTTAACAAACGAAAAACAATTATTTGGGTTCCACGTTTAATAATGTGCTATACACATTTGATGATCGTCAATATTTAAACATATCTCAACGCTATATTGAACTATATAAATAAAAGAGAAATTAGAGTTCAAAATCAAATCATTCGATTTTTGCGGCAGACATGCGAACAGCATCTTCTACGCATTACGCGAGATCTCGCAGTGAATAAAATGTCACCTTTTAGACTCGCCTGAAGGCTAATTGCACAATGCAATTGACGTCTAACTTCAAATTACTGAAAACGGAAACATGTGATTACTATAGTTTACAAATAATGAAAACATCGTCACAGTATTGACATGTTCCCAAATGAGTTTGATTTGGTTAGAAAGGTTGGAGGAATTAGTTTGCCTGTTGCAACTTTGGAAATGTGTCTAAAAACGAGCCCAATCAACATTGTCGTCGCTGAGGGCAGTGTTTATATACTACAAATGTAGTACCATAACTTGACCGTACCACTGACAATAAAGCATTATACTTCGCCAAATCCACGCACGAAGGTACACTTTACCTGACTGACTACGCACGTACACTGTCGTAACTATTAGATAACATCGGTGAAGTCGATTGACATAACGTGGCGCTGAAAATGTCACGTTATAGTTTGTATGACACTTCCACCGATGGCTTTTTGAAGCAGCTAATTTTGTCACGTGTTTTGTTAAAAAAAAATATTTTGTAATATTTTTCGTAGAATAAAATGAAAACTGTATTTACGTAACCCATCACCGTTTGTTGTGTTTTAATTTTTTTTTACACATTTACTGTACACATTTATATACACACTGATCAGTGTACTATTCACCTCGGACACTGAAAAGTACGTGCACTCCGCCAACTAGTTTATGGTATGTTCACAGATCAAGTAAACACTTCTAAGATTTAACCAAAATAAAACATGCATGGCAAAGTTCTCGTGTTGACATTTCCGACCTTCCATGAATTTTAAAATGATATTGCACATGTGATAAATACGGTCCCAGACATTTAAACAATCCTGATTGTTGTGCATTTTGAAAACTAGGATGGTGAAAGCAGGGAGCTTTGATTGGTCGCAAGCTGACAGCACTAGTCTATATCTATGCCTTGGCATACACGTACATGTACATGTACGGAAGTGCATATCGCCTCCAATTTGTCATTTTTGATCGAAACGTGTAAAAAACAACCACACATGTTCAAACATCATGCCAAACACTTTTGATGGCCCACTGAAATTATGATTATTTGTTATTATAAATTGAGCCATTTTTTTTCAAAAATAATCTGATTAGAAAAAAAACGTCTGAGAATCGAGTCAAAACATACAAAAACAGAATGTACGTCAGTAACTCTGTATGTTCAACCGGCATACCAAATTGCAAAGAATAGACTTTTCGACATTTTTAATGACTAAAACGCAATTTGGTCAAAAAAACCTGACGACCCGATTAGAAAAAAAAAATGTTAACATGGGTATGTCCTTTGACCTGTCTGAGAATAATATGGACCACCGTGGTCACAAGTCGGCCATTTTAAGCCAAAATGTAGAAACAAAACAGGACATGTATAACCATCATACCAAGTTTGAAAACGGCCGCAATTTGGTGAAACAATGATCCGATTAGAAAAAAAATGTTAACAGGGGTATGTCCGTTGACCTTTCTGAAAATGATACGCAACACCGCAACACCGTGGCCACCAGTCGGCCATTTTAAGTCAAAATTCAGAACAAATACAGGACATGTAAAACCATCATACCAAATTTGAAAAAAAAAATCGGTCCATTTTAAAAAATGACCGCACTCGATCATTTTTAATTGAAATCTACGAAAACTGAAAATACCTCCGGCACCCTACACGTAAAACCGTCCCACAAAGTTTGAAACAAACAGGCCTAAGTGTGTCCGGAAGAAGTCCATTTTAGTGTATTAAAAATAAATGGGATCACAAAATCGATGCACGTACCAGGTAAGTAAGATACTAGATATGTGTAAAATTTTAAAGAATCGGTCCGGGTATCTAGTTTCGTACATGTCAAAACACTTGGTTTTAGTGTTTTAACAACTAAAATTGTTTAATATGAATTGTCTGAGTATAAAGTTTGAGGGACTGTGAACTAGGTATGTACAGCTGAGATACACTGTGGCAGCTCCGACCGCACACACGCACACATGCAAGTGCGCATGGAGACTAACCCACAAGTCCCTGTTTTAAGACTAGATTGGAGCGCCAAAAAAATCAAAGTCGGCATGTAATGAACACATCGCGGCCTGACCCCGGGGCCTGACCCTAACTTCCATTCCTGCTTTACACTAGGAACGCACATTGAGTTGTTGGGGAGTCACTGTTTCGGGCTCATACCACTAATTGAATTTCCATAGACGACAATGTTGAGATTGACGAGATTGCTATATGAAAATGATGAAGAAAGTTGAAAACATGGCTCAAAAATTGGAAATCGACATGCCAGTAATCAACCATATGAAAAAAACATGTTGGCTCAAACTCTTGCAAATCTAAGGTAAACAAGACACACCCACTGTATTTGAATTGCACCAAGAGAAATCACTGGAAAAACACCAAGATTAGAACATCCAAATACACACAGAATAAACCCACAGGTACACAGCCGCTAAGTAGTAAACAAAAGACCACATGTTGGTCTCACCTTTGACCCAGGTGATTACGCCCTCAAACAGGGAGCACCTGAAAAAAAAATATTTAAAAAAATTCATTAGTTCTTGCAAGGCATTTAAATTGACAGCCATTGGTTAATTAGTGGCATGAGACCTGTTTCGGATCAACACAAACCTTGGACATGCGTGGCACGACGTGTAAATGAATACTTGAACCATACTGTACAGTGACTAATATTTCCCTGCGTCACGACACCGTCCCTCGACACGGTGAGAAGTCACTGGCCTTACCCGTCAGTGGGAAGGCAGTTAACATTTAGCTTTACGCTTCAATTTAGCATTGACATACAGTGTGTAGTGTGTACTTATACATATATACGACTGGGCCCTTTTCTGAAACAGGGTGTTCCTTATTTGGCGATTATTCATAAGTTTGCCGTTGGTGGCGTTCTCGCAAAACCACAAACTCGGTGCATACTTGTAGAATGTGTTGAACTGTCTCGTGCCTGCAATACAACGTTACCGCTACGGCGCTACCTACAATATGTAAACAATCACTTATACTAATTATGATTAGACAATCTGGCAACTAATCTTGGGTCATTTTAAACCTTTGTCCAACTCGATTCAGAATGAATACACATCTCTATTCGTACTTATGGTCTTGTGTCTCGCAATGTATAGGTCAATTTCATTCAAAGTGGGCAGATAATAGCAGACACGTACATTTCATTTCGCTAATTGATGGGTATTTTGTTTCTACAAATGAACGTGCCCTGCTCCTCCCTGAATTAGGGGTGCAATTTGAAATTGCAATTTGGGGTATATTTGTTTTAAAATGCACTAGCACACATTTATTTTCAAAATACAATTTTGGAATGTTTTAATGCGAATGGCGTGAGATGTAAAAATCAACGACTGTTTTAAAAAAAAAAACTTTTATTTATTGTAACAGCTTGACTGTGTGTAGCAGGTATGGCAACTGTAACCAATATCACCAGCTTCCAACCTACACGTGGGGCAGGGCTTACTGGGAGATGAACAATAATAATAAGATGGTCCATGTGTAGATACCGATCTGCAACTCAAAAAACACTTACCAGTGACCTGAAAACTGTTCATAGTAAACATGCATGCAGATTAGTCATTTTGAAGGTGGGTCTCAGTATTGTATAGCCCACTATAATAATGACGTCATTTAGGAATTCATCCTGAGATAAAACGTTTGTTGTCGGTATGTTCTAACCAATAACATATTAATACTATTTGTTGGGAGAATGGCTCCGAGACATTATGTCACTGTCGAGCTCCTTGCTCGCCTTATGTTGTAAATAATAACATATGTACAGGTTAAATAATGTTTATTTTATGCTTCCGGTGTAGAAACTACGGGGGTTATCACCGTTAGCGTGAATTGGGGTCGGTTCGGGGCAAGCAAATTGTTGTTGTGAATACGAGTAGCTTAATCGACAGTCAGTAGTCAATTTGTTCGATGTTATCTGATATTATAATATGACGTCATAGCAAAGTTTCGTCGGCAACTTGGAGGCAAACACAAACTAGAAAGCAAATGAGAATGAGAAACTGTCAAAAAATGAATGAGAGAATACGATGACAATGACGTAAGTATCGATACAATAGACAACAGTGTATTTGTGTCGGTAATGGGATGGGAACACAAACTTGGAAACTGTATACTACCACATCCCTCTGGACACTTGAACTAGAGTTCACGTAAGCCCGTCCCGGAGAACATAACATATCATCCCCGTGCTTGCTGAGTATGGCTAAAGGCAAAGTTCCAATACCGTTGTCCTGGTGACACACTAACAGCCACGGCAGGTTTAACATAACGATAATAGTTCACATCGATCGAGACGACTGGACGGAAGTCTTCGCCTTGTACACTATCTTCAAAGTTTTTTTTTTTCTGGAGAGCAAATATGAACCGTGTACATTTGTGTGCGTTTTTGCAATTCGTGTTTATTTACATATGGATACCACAAGCCTGCTCGCGTAAGTATATTGGAAACCACGTGAAATTTCTCACAGAAGTGAAATTAATATGTTTCATTCCTTTTAATAATTGCTGTTATCACTTGCAGTGGTTTATTTAGATGAATTTTGCGGCGCCGTAATCTGGGAAACCGAGAATTCCGCCATTGAGCTTCAGTCACAAGATGCTACCATGTACACCGATAACCTGGACTGCGTAGTTACCATCAGCGCTAACCCCGGTAGACAGATCTTGTTAACGTTCACGTTTTTCTCGATTCAAAGCAGCGAAGGTTGCACGGCAGACTACCTGTATGTGTACGACGGCCCCTCCACCGAGTATGACATGGTAAGCGGTGTGTGCGGCAATAGCTTGCCCGCCGACGTGGTCACGTCCGGTAACAACGTGACGCTAAGACTGAAGACGGACAACACTGATAACAACTTTGGGTTTGGGTTATACGCTACCAGTTTCGGTTTAGGTAAGTGTATAACTGCACAATGTACGGTGTATTTCAAATGTACTATATTCCTCGCTGTGAAATTTCGATTTATAAGATTTCATTGACTGTCAAGTCCATGACGAACATGGTTGAAAGTTTCGCATAAAGGTCTTCCAGTAGATGTGGCGAGTTAGAAACGGAGAGATAAAATGTACCCGATGGTTACATGTAATACTGTAAAATGACTAATTTTCACTGGGTTTAAATTTCGCTAATTTACCATTTCAGGCATAGTATTCAGTGGGTTTTAAATTCACGGTTTTATCATTTAGATAATGTGTTCTATGCTAAATTTTACATATTTTACAGTACATCAGTTACCATAGAAATAAATCAGCTGTGTTTGTTTCAGCGCCATGCTCTGATGACGGCGAATTTGAGTGCAGTAACGAGCGGTGTATTGATTCGGCGTTACAGGACGACTTCATCAACAACTGCGGGGATTTCAGTGACGAAGGTGAGTACGGTTCTGAGCGGTTCTGTATAGTCCGTTTACCATTATTTCCTCAAACAATCGAACCAGTCTTTTCTCCTTTCAGAACACTTACTATTATAGCGACTCAGCCCCCAAGGCGGTGCATAATCATGCTCAAACAACAAACGTATGTGTTGGCATATAATATGTATTGTTATGATATTTCGCTATGTACCACACAGCCAATAGATAGAAATTATGATTCGGGTAAATCTGTACTGGAAAATTGTATACTACACAGTTGCACATCACCTAAAAACTTCGGCATTTCATTCCGATGTTTACTATCAAACATTTCAGGGTTTGAACTGAAATGGACATTGAAATAAGGTCGATAGCCAGCTACATCATATTGTTCTTATCCAACACCCGGACCACTGTCACATTCTTGTACATGATTTTCTGTTCCCACAAAGTCATGGGCATGGGGGTGTTTTATAAATGACTGGTGCGTTAGCTTACATTAGTTTACAACTTATGTTCATATATTCACATTGAAATTTAGAATCAAGACTACGCCACCTACTCATAGGTGACATGGGCACGTCTGTACGCCCTATTTGGGCAAGTTTTGGATTTAATCTTCAGGAGTGTAATTTCCACGCATTCGTTGTTTTAAATCAGCTTGAGCCGAGCTTTCTGTCGGTTATAGCTGCCAATTACGTGCAAATGGTGTGGCACTGACTGACTTTATGTTCTCTTTTGCAGGGGATTTCGGAGAAATTGTCGGAGGGATACTGGCTCTCGGCATGGGCGTGGTTATTGTCATTGTAGTAGTTAGCGTCTTGCTCGTCATCTGCTGCATCTGTGTATGTGTCTGTGCTTGTGTCAAGTGCTGCAAGAAAAGTTGCAGTAATCAGCGCCCCGTACACGTGGTACACGGTCAGACTGCTTATTAGACGTGAATGAGGCTGCAGTACCGTAACGCGAGTTTTTTATTCAACTTACTTCATAACATAGTCCCTCTAGATGGACTGTGTTTATATTAAATAAATATAACAAGATGTTTTTTTTCTCGTAATGCACCGCTGTAGTTGTATTAGAAATGTTGTCCAGGAAGAAATTAGTAGTACCGATGCGAGTGTGAAATCGTCACCTGCGCACGCGCGAGTCCCAAGCGACGATAACACCTCACGCTACGGCCGTCTGCCGCATGCGCAGGTGGCCACTTCCCCGCTATATTTTACTTATACTATGCGTCAGCTAGAGATACCGAATTGAAGCGGAAAACCTCTCTACGGCGAGTACGTTAACACATATTCTAGAGTAGTCAATATGTAATTTACCACACTGAACTTGATAGTGCCAACCCATGGCAAACAGTATGTGTAATCTTGGTGAATACTGATATTAGTATTGTATGTTGTTTATATTACAATTAATATTGAAAACCAACATAATTTGTAACGAGTACATATCTTGAGTTCCAGTTGGGTAAACTGGGTGGATAAACAGTGGATGCTACCCTCAGTTCTCCAGCATTGACACCTTTATCAGGAAACGTTCATTTACATGGCGTTTACTGAGTTGATGTATGGATCTATGTGTTTTGCGATAGAGTTATTTTTAATGTTTTGTCATGGACTCTATGTCCCTTTAATAATAATCTGTATACCGGCAATTGTTATAATTAACAACGTCTGGTCTGGGGAGGGTCATCATATTTCTTGCACGTAGGTTTGTATGTATATGACTTTCGAGCAACACCAACTCTCCCTGTAATTTCGATCCAATCTCCAACTCTCCATACGACAAACTCTGCATATATCTTTTCGTGTATTAATAACTCTTTTACGTACATGATAAGTACGGTACATCTATATTCCTCTACCTCTTATTAGTAAAGGTAACACATATTCCGTGCTTGATATACTATATAATATAAAATGGTCGACTAACAGAATACTAGTGAGCCGTTTTTTTCCTGTGCCATTAGTTTAGGCTAATCCCGATATTGATGTAGCCAGAAATGTTGGCGTGAGTAGCACCCTCGCCGGCAGAACGGCATCAGGCCTCACTAACTTGAGTTTGGAGCACCGCAGAGGGATAGATATTGATGTTGAGAAGAACAATGGCACGGGTAAAACATCGAAATCGGTCAGGGTGGAACAAATCGTTCACTATCATTCTTTCGGTCAATATATTATAACCTTTGTTCATGGATCAATACCTTGGTTGTATGGGGAGTACTAGTATCTGTTTTTTTTTAATCTACGCCATTGGGACACGCCGGGATAACAGTCAGGGATTGTTGGAAATATACGCCAGAGTCCCCAGAGTTCGACACTGTTCTATCAATAAACATCATAGCTTACCCGTCTGTAGATCATCCAGTAACGTCGAAATATCGGAATAATGTAACTAGTCAACTCGTTTTTTTAGCTAAAATATATGACGACGGACACGTGTTACGTGTTCCAGTTTTTTTAATTAATTAAAAAGACAAAGACGGCACACAGTTATCTTTTACTTGCATTTGTGGGCATATAAGATACTGGGTCCATCGCCCAGAAAGAGTGGTCAGGTAACAAGATGTGATATATAAAGTTATCTCGAGTTTATGAGTAATGATAACCGTGTGTTATTGTATGTTTGATGCCAACAATATCGTTTTATGTCTAAAAATACATGGTTCTGGCAAACCCGGATAAGTCAACACGATATGACATCTCGTAAGGTGAGAGTTATCCAATCCGCCAAAAGTCAAAAGTGATAATCGACGATTGAGGGCGCAATACAAATAAGTAGTTCGAGATTTGGTGTGTGTACTATACGTTCATTGGAGCATTATAATAAATTCTCCTTTACTGACGATTTCAGATTTCAGCGCTGTGTTTCAGGTAAACACAGTCCAACTTGAAACTGATGTGCGCATACGTGCCACTATCAAACGAAATGTTCAAATTATATTTCCGAAATACAATAATACTGAAGAGCCCAAATAATTCAAGTTTGTGTCGCAGCCATGGCATTTTCCCCATCGCCATTTCTTCTACGCATGTTTAAACATCGCCCCCACTGGTCGATCATTTCTACTAGCGCCGAATAATGCATACCAGAATTAACGTCATTTACCACGGTATGTTGTAGGGTTTTGAAAAAAAGGCACGACATTTGTATTGAAACCATGGAGTGAAGCATTTGACCGCATTTTTACCAGAATTATTTTGAATCAAGTGTGTTGTACACTCTGTGCTGCCATGTCATAGGTTAGCATGGATTTGTCCAAAAGGCGACTGTACGTAACCATGCAACCACCGGGCGTCTTCATCATTCCTCCTCGGGCACAAATGTTCGGGGATTTCATTTTAACATATCTTTTATAAAATTATAAAGTTGCTCCTCTGTCAATTGGTATTTGCCATCTTTACCATGCCTGATAGACTGTCGACAATGTAATTGTGTATCATAGACATTCAAACGTCCAAGGCGTTTGATGGGAAATGCAAAGCATTTCAAGCGAGGGACTTTAGATAGTGCCGAGAGTCGCTCGTTTCTAATGGCACTCCATACTTCCTGTCCCGGCGTTCGCAATTTATTCACGCCTATTACGTTTATACACAATATTTATTTATAATAATAGTAGAATGATTAGGTACGACCGATTGTTGACAGTTTACATGCCAGACAGCCATTACAGGGGGCAATGGGGATAGCTGGTAACAGGTGCCAGGAAATAAAAAAGGCATTTTGCGTTTTTACAGGAAATATTATGAAAGTTTCATTTAGAGTCAAAATAGGTTTTTACACTTATAGATAAATCAAATTCATAATTATCTTTAACATTTCTATAATATGTTTGATAATTTGTGTCTAAGAATCAAATTTGGAAAATGCTTTATACGCTTACAAAAAATAAGATCATTGTACCAATTACGGACGAATAAAATAGCTGATTACATTTTACACCTTGCCCATGTCTACGAATTTACGTTTTTTATTTATTTAAATTACATTATTATGAAAAAAAATACAATTGATTACAGCTTACGAAAATATTCCTCGCCGACCCTCATTACACGAAACCACTGAAGATATATCAGCCTGAGAGTTTTAGGAAAAGAAATCCCCTTTGAACGATATTTTTTCCATCACCTGAATTGAGTTTAAATGCACTTGTGTTGCAGCATTAACAAACTGTATTATCATCATAAATGTGAAAATCCAACTACACCTATATAAAGACCATCTGTCTGTAGTTATCACTTTTAGGCAGTCCTAAGGCATAACGTGTGAGCAACGTGTGTATAAAGACCACCTGTCATATAAGCGCCGATTTATATGAATGGCGGCTTCTAAGCACAAACAAAACCTACTATATAGTAGAATTAAACTCCGTGACTATTGTTTACAAATCTAGCTCATCCACAATCCATCCACAATCTCAAAATTGGTAATATATTGGATTATTATAGTGACTCGCTCAAGTGATGCATTGTATCACAGGGAGTTGGACAATTATATGTATTTTAATAAATTATTAAATAATAAATTGTTATATAACTTTTCTTTTACCCCTTCCTGGTCTTTTACCCCCCCCCCTTTGTTTATACCACTCTTTCCTTTATCACAACTTTGTTACGCGCTAATGTTATATGCAAATTTTAACGCGCGAATGAAGACACGCCCTAGTGGTATAAAGAAGGATCAGTGATTACTGAAATCGATACCATGAGGGGGGGGGGG